ATCTGAGGAAGGGGGAATGTCCTTCTGTGGGAGCCAGTGAAGGTGACCATGAGAGCGTCATCCGATGCTGATTCTGTGGGCACAGGCGCCTAGATTGGTGGCTCAGTGCCCCCTCTGGGTCAGAACAGCTGTACCCAGCCAAAGGCTGGCAGGACCCCTGGACTCATGTCCTGCCTTCTCCTCCCTGCAGAGCGAAGCCAAGACAGCACAGCCGTGGCGCTCTCAGACTCCAGCTCCACACAGGACTTCTTCCCCGAGCCGGCCACCTCACTGGAGGGTCCCCGCAAGTCCAGCGTGGCCGACAAGAGACTGCCCTCGGCCGGCCAGGCAGGAGCCCCTGGGAAAGAGCTTCAGGGGGCCCCAGAGGACAGAGGTACCAAGGCTTCACTGAGAGTCAGGGGGCAGGGGATGGGGGCCATTAATCCCAGAGCAGCCTTGCTGGAGCCTCCAGACACAGGAGGCTGAGCTAGGTGACTTGCCATTGGCCAGGGAAAGGAGGGACTTGGTGCTGGGGAGCTCACCCACATCTGCTACTTGGAGAGGTGCCACGCCAGCCTTGGCCAGTGGAGGGTCTCTGCTCCCCACCACACCCCTAGGCCTAACCCTTCTTGCTCTTCACACTGGAGCCCCGACTCAGACTCAACCAGGCTCTGGGTGCAAGCAGGAGCAGGGCCAGGTCTGACCACACCCCTGGGGCTCACAGTGATCCTAGAAGAGTCTCCTCCTGCAGGGCCTAACTGGCCTGGGCCACCCCTCCTCCGGCTTCCCAGATCCTGCGCCCAGCAGAGAAGCCCCGTCGCTGCTGTTAGGGTCGGAGCAGCACTATAGGGAGGCAACGCCCTCCCCATCTCACCCAACAAGCCTCTCACTCCCCGAGTGGCTCCCAGCGCTGCTGCTGTGCTGGGAAAACCAGGCAGTTCCCCTCCTCACCCTGGAGCCTCTGCTGCCTGGGCCTCCTCACCCTGGGCTCACCAGAGTCCACCAAGGGCAGGCCTGTGGGTCCCACCACCAGACAGGATGGGTGCGTGTAGCACCCGGGGCCCTGCTCTGTAAGGCACCCTGGGTGGCCTCGGGCCACAGGGTTGCGGGAGGCTTTCAGAAGTGGAGAGAGGGAGACTTGTGATCAGGCTCTCAGCTCTTCCTGACCCACAGCAGCAGGGCAGGCCTCACCCCACCCCACCTTCTGGGAAGCCCCCAGCCCAGCCCCTCCTCTCCCCCAGCTAGCCTTCCCTCCTCCCACCTCAGCCTGCGTGGAGGCCATGGGGCCTTGTCCAGCGGAGGGGGTGGAGACGATGGGGCCTTGTCCAGCAGAGGGGGATGGACGTTGTGTATCCAGCGAAGGGAGGTGGAGGTCATGGGGCCTTGTCCAGCAGAGGAACATGGAGGCGTGGGGCCTGGTGTCTATCCAAGGGGTGACCACATTTCCCTCTCCAACTGCAGGGAAATCCGAGGAATCCTTGGAGAGCTCAGAGGGCTTCCGGGCAGCCGAGCAGGGCAGCCAGCGGCCTGCTGTGGAGCCCCCCACCTCAGTCTGCCACCCTGCCAAGCCCACTGCCCCGGCCCCCTCCTCATGGGAGACCAGGAGACGGGGGGACCCCGCTGGGGAGCCGGCCACCTTCCCACAGGGGCTGCCGGCCGGTGCCGAGGAACAGCGCCAGTTCCTGACCGAGCAGTGCGTGGCTGCCTTCCGCCTGTGCCTCAGCCGCTTCCCGCAGCACTACAAGAGCCTCTACAGGCTGGCCTTCCTCTACGCCCACAGCAACACCCACCGGGTAGGAGTCATGGAGTGGGAGGGACACCCTAAGGTGGTGCAGCTTTCCAGGGCCTGCAAGAAGGCCCAGTCAGGGAAAGGCTTGGCTGTGGTGCAGGACCCAGGCTGGGATGGACCTGTGGGGGGGTCAGGACAAAGGCGCGCACACCCAGGGGCCTTCTCATGTGAGGGTCAGCCTGGGACCCTACCTGCCCAATGCCTGGCTGCCCTCTCTGTGTGCCCAGCCCTCCTCCCCCCGTTGCTGCCCTACCTGGGCTCGCTGTCGGGGTCACTGCCCAAACCACCGTCACAGCGATTCTTTGTGGGGTTGCAGGCAGGCGGCCTCCTCCAGCCCTTTCTGGAAAGCAGACGATGGCTTAGATGTGTCCCAGGACCAGGGACCCCCTCGACCCCCTCGATGGGCAGGAAGCGCCTCCCTCTCCTCCTTGGGTGGAGACGTGTCAGAAAATTACAACCAAGCAAACGGAGATTGTCTGGGGTTGGACAGGGTGGGTACTGCCTGCCTGGGACTCCTTTTATGCCAAGACGAGTGAAACGGGGTGTGGGGCACCAGAACAAGCGTGGGGTCCAGGGGGCCATGGGGGGGCCAGGGGGGACCTCAGGGTACTGTCTAAGATGATCTGTTTAGGGAATTGAAGCATGTGTTCATTTTTCCTGGACCATAGGTTTCCAAGCTCCCTTGGCCTACCCCCGCTTTCCAGAAAATACAAAGTACTCAGACCCCCCCACCCCCCAACACACACACCCCTTGAGAAACTGTTGTGCTGTAGTCATCAGGATGGAGCACGGGCCTCTGCTTCTGCTGTCCCTGGATCATTCCAGCACTGCCCCCAGGGGTGGGCTCACCCATGGTGGGAAACGCGGGCTTAGAGCCTGGGGTCTCCCATAGAGCCTACCAGACCCTGGTTTTAGCCAGCGCAGGGTCATCGGGGCTCTGAGTAAGGGCAAGCCAGGTTTGGCAGCTGGGCAGGCACAGGCTTTCCCTCCGACCAGCAGGGCAGCCGTGTCCAGCCCCTGCCTCTGGTGAGGTGGGCGGCCTTGTGTCTAGCCCCTGGCTCCAATTCCAGTATGAGTCAGAATTGACTAGAGAGCAGTGGGTTTGGGCTTTGTTTGTTTTACTTAGTTCCTTTTTGTGCGTGGAACACAGGAAAACAACAATTGGTGGCACACTGAGGCCACTGGCCCGGCCATGTGGTGATGACAGAGGCCACAGCACCCCAAGGCACACCGCCTACGGTGCCAACCATGATAGGGTTCTCTGGTGTACAGCACAGGAGACTTTAGGGGCTGTAACTGCAGTCTGTCCCTGTGTCAGACGTCCACAGCCCAGGGACTGCCTGTGCAAAAGGGATTGTTGAACAGGCAGTAGAACCGGACACCCTGACACACACACACACACACACTCCAGTTCACCCTGACACACACACACACACACACACACACACACACTCACACTCCAGTTCCTCAAGGAAGCAGACACACAGAGCCTTTCCCCTTGAGACTACACCTGGGCCTCCTAAACTGTGGGAGAATTTCTGTTTGGGCCACAAACGACCCTCTTGTCTTTCTGTGACTTCACTGGGACCCAGGTAGGCAAGGGAGCCCACAGTGTCATGAGAGAAGTTTAAAGGGGTGCAGCCTGGCCCTGTGAGAGCAGCCCGGCTGGCAGGCTGAGGAGCAGTGTGACCCCGGGACCATGCGGTGCTCAGGCCAGCCCATGCTTGGGTACCCAGGACGCTGGCACCACCCTGGGGCAAACGGGTGCTCACCTGCTTGGCCAGCCAAACCAGCTGCTGCTTACCCACAGCTCTGGGGTCACCTGCCAGACCACTGGCTCTGCGCTCTATCGTGGTGCCCCACCCTTCCTGCTGCAGGAAGCCCTCCCAAGCTGGTGTCACTAGTCAGGGAGATCCACACAGAATCTCTCGGGTGGGCATGGGGGTCCCATTTGAGCCCACCTCAAGCCATCCAGAGCCAGGCAGACCCAGCTCGGGAAAGGAGACACCACCCATGATGCCAGCCTGTGCAGACACCTTACCGGCCCGCCCCACGGGCACCCAGCAGCCCACGCACTTACCCCCAGCCTACTTCTGTCTCCCCAGAACCTCCAGTGGGCCCGAGACGTGTTGCTAGGCAGCAGTATCCCGTGGCAACAGCTGCACCACATGCCGGCACAGGGGCTCTTCTGTGAGAGGAACAAGACCAATTTCTTCAACGTGAGTACTTTGCTTGCTGGATTTCCGAGCCCGCGAGGGCTCATGTGGTCGGACGCCCCCAGAGGGCAGGCAGATGGCACAGGCGGGGGCGCAGATGTACACGCTGGCTATGGGGAGAGGCTGGGTGAGAGATGGGGGTCTCCGGAGCCCTGGACTTGGGGGACCACTGCTGTCGGTGATGAGGAGGCTCCAGGCTCCTAGAGTGCCCGCCCTGAGTGTGGCAGGTGGTGGGCATGCTGGACGAGGACTCTGTGCTTGTGATCGGGGCCTCCTGCACACAGCAGCACCTTAGGGACAGGTGGAGTTGCTTGAGCAGGAGCTGAGCGCCTCCTAGTGGGGTGGTTCTCAGGGTGCCTGCGGAGACAGGAGTGCAGCCTCTCTCCCTCTGCGCCCACGGGCCTGTGTACAGCCAGCTGTTTTATAAAGAACATCCATATGGGTGCAGATCTCGTGGGCATAGCTGTAGGGGAGTGCCCATGGGCGTAGGTGCCCATAAATATAGTCATTGGTCCCCATGAGCAAAACGAAAGGACTTACAGGGACGGAAAAACCGCTGGTCACACTAAACCCAGCCCCTCCCTGGGGGTGGGGGGTGGGGTGGGGGTGGTGTGTGTGTGTGTGTGTGTGTGTGTTTTCAGTGTCAGGCCCATGACCACCCTAAGGGGCCCCTCAGCAGTCTGTCAGGGAACATCTCAGGACCTGGGTTCTTCCTAGCTGGTGGTTTCGCCGTATGTGAGCAGCCCTGTTCTCCCTGCCCAGGGCGCCCTCCTGGTGCACACTCTGTTTCCAGCCTTGTCTTCACACACGCCTGCAAGTCCACATCCGGCGTTTGTGGCACTGTTAGAGCCGCCATGGCAACACAGTTGTTGTCGGGTGCCTTCGACTGCGCCAACCCATAGTGGTCCCAGACCATGTATGACACACAGAAGCAGCACCCAGCTCTGCACCACCGTAGGTTTGAGCCAGCCCTGTGTCTGTCCGCCTCAACATGGGTCCCAAGCACACTCCACCCACCTCATTCCCCACCTGTCCGTGGCACTCTGTTACCGAGCTTTTTAAATTGATTGTGTAGACAGCTGCCAAGCCTGGGACAGACACATGTCTCCCTCCCCTCCCATACACACAGCCCCTGAGGGACAGGTCCTCTGCAGGCCCTAGGGGTGGACCCCGCCCTGGCCTCACCTGGTGTCCATGTCTGAGACCATGCGGAGTGGATTGAGCAGGTCCCCACACGTCCTTTGCTACCTCCTCACAAGGCACGCTGAGCTGCCGGGGTCGACAGGAGAGGGCTTGGTGCGTCTGCCTCAGGGTTCATGGGGCCTGGGCAGGCCGAGTGGTGCAGAGTGAGGACTGGGCAAAGCCTGGCCACCGCACCACACAGCCATGGCCTGAGGCCGACCTACCTTCCGCTTCCCTCAGTGACAGTTGGGAGGGATGGGCGGGTCTCCACCCAGTGCAGGGTCTGTGTCCTCTCCCCAATCTTTGAGAAGCACGCATTTTGCGTGCACGGAGGGTGCTTTCCTGGAACTCAGTGCTCGCCCACATCACGTGGATGCGGCTGCCTCCTGCTGTGTGTCGTGCGCAGGTCCACAGTCTGCTGGGCAGTGTGTGTTTGGCCAGGCACGAGCATCTCTTTGACCAGGAGCCCCATGGGAGACTCACAGGACATGTGGTGGCTAGGCTGGGATTCTTACCCTGGTCTGGTCCCAAGAAGGGGTGTGCTTGCTTGTGCAGGCAAGGGAGCATCTCTGAGACTCCCTCTGGCCCGCCGTGGGGACAGGGTGTTTCTGAGGGCTTCCCAGAACTGCTGTGAGGATGCCCCAGGCACCCAGTTGTATGCACCTGTCACCCTGCTTCATTGTGGGCACTGGAATGGTGGCCAAAGGTTGGGCCTGAGCACATGCCTAGGAGAGTGGGCCAGGGCAGTAATGACAGGCCCAAGGGGTGGCCACGGGGTATCTCGGGGTCTGTGAGTTCCCTGAGGCATTGTAAGGACACTGCTGGAAGGGATAGTCCTGTGTGAGTTGGCCTCCCCCCCGCAGCCCCCATGATGCAGGGACCTGCCTGGCTGCCCAGCCTCGGGCTCTGGCTGGTTGGCTGGGTCAGTGAGGGCCAGGAGGGTGAAGCCGCTGTGAACAGCACTATTTATAGCTGCGTTGAGATGATCTGGGAGTCGGAGTCGGCGGCACGAATCATAAACAAGGAGACTAGTGGACGTTCTCACGTCTTTCGAGGCTGGGTGCCCGGCTCTTCCTCCTCCCATCAGTGCCCCAGCAAGGGCCATGCATACCTGTCTTGGGGTCTTCTCCTCCCCTCCTCCCCCACTGCCTGGGGGCCCAGAAACCCACTGCCCTGACCAGACAACATGGTCACTCACACCCTCAGCAACACTCCTTAGGCCACCTGGAGACAGCCCCACGTCCAGGTGTAGACTCAGCCTTGCCACTGTCCAAAAGCACAGCCCCATGGCACACAGCCTCCTGGTCATAAGCTGGCTGGGCCCCTGACCACCTTTCTTCCCATGGCCTCTGGGTCCCTGGTTAACACACATGCACGGGCAGACGGTAGTCCTCAGGGACATGCTCCATCAGAGCAGGCTCCCTGTCCACTGCCAGCTTTCTCAAAGCGCTGTTCAGAGACCTAGTATCCCCGAGGCCCAGGACAGCGGTCCCAGCCAGTCTGTCTGGAGGGGTCTGAGCAGAACAGTATGAACAGGGGACTTGCCTAGAGAGATGGGTGCTCTGCCCTCCGCTGTGCCCACTGCTGTGACTGCCCTGGGAGGGGGCTGGGCAGGTATAGGCATGTTGAAGGTGGAGGGTATCTGGCCATGGCCCCATTCTGGGCTGACCGCCGGCTGAATGAGAGAAGTGGCTTCCTAGCCCTTTTTCCAAAGGCAGCTGCTCCAGGGGGTTGGGGGTAGTGGGCTGGACTCACCCCCATTTGCTCTGAGTCCCCTCTTGCCCCTCTCTACCCTGCTCTGCTCCAGCACCTGGCCCACCGTCTCTCTGGAGCTCACTTTTCCCCCCACCTTCTTTTTCCACTTTTCCTATTTGGAAAGTTTGGCGGCTTCTGGAGCAGCCTGGGGCTGAGCTGCGGACCAGAGGAGCCTGGTGCTCCTGGCCCCTGGTTGCCATGGCAACTAACTAGGTTTGGGCCAGTGGCTCTATGTTTCCTGTAGGCACCACCCCTAGGCTAAGTCCCCCCACCCCACCTTTACTCATGACCAGCCATGCCCATGTGTGCCATGCCCACATAGCCGCGTGCACATGAACCACTGAGGGGAGGGCCCGTGAGAGTACCCAGCCTGCCTGGTTCTGCCCCAGAGGAGGCCATGTAAGATAGCAGGGGAGAGTGATATGCTGGACCCAGAGGGCCACCTGCTCGCTGCAAGACAGCAGGAGTCTGTCCCGCGTGGAGAGTGCCATGACACAGAGAATTCTGGGAGCACCGGGCTGAGACCAGGGGAAGACTGGGAGGCTGCCACCTTGCTTCTAAGAGACCAGAGTGTCACACTGACTTGTGCAGTTCAGGTGGAGTTGCCTGCCAGGTGGGAGCCACCCGGACCATTGAGGGAGGGATGCTGGGCCAAGCCCCTCCTGTGGGGCTGCAGGCCTTGCAGGGACACTCAATCTCCCTTGCTGTGGGGCTGTGGACCGTGCGTCCTCTAGGACTATGCTCACCGCCTGGCTGTGATGCAAACAGAGCTAGAAGCCGAGGGCTGAGGGGCCATTCTCTTAAGAGCAAGCCCAGTCTGCTTTTCAGAAGAGGCCAAGGAATAGACGGAAAGCAGGCCACCGGCTCTAGGCTGGGGACCGAGAGAGCGCACTGGCAGCAAGTGGGCTAAGGGCTCCACCCACCTTGCTGTGGACTGCCGGGAGACAATGGTGGGCAGGAGTCAGGGACTTCAGGGCCGGGCTGGGGAAGAAAGGCAGGATGCCTGGAGCCGGGTGGGGGTGGGGGTGAGAGGCCAGCCAGGCTGGAGCACCCAGGACCAGGGAGAAGAGTGGACCTAGAGAAGAGTCTATGGCAAGGCAGCACCTCGGGCCTGTGGTCTTGTCTGCTGGTGGGGTGGGCGGGCCAGCGGCTGACCAGAGCAGCTGTCTGTTGAGACTGCGTCCTCCACCCAGATCTCCTCCGGAGAGGCCGCAGCCAGGAGAGGTCCCCCAAAGTGGTCAGTCTGAGGTTGGAGGCATAAAATGCCCCAGGGGGAGCACCCCCTTCCAACAGGAGGGAAGCAGAAACCCAGCATGGGTCAGGCCTCACCTTACTACTGGAACAGCCTGAAAGAGGGGTGGGTGCCTCTGGACTTGGTCTGGTCCCGGGCTTGCTGAGAAGTGTGTGTGTTAAGGGGTGTGAAAAGGCTGGACAGGGCTGGGGGCTTTCCTGCTGTAAGCCCCTCTGAACTGCCCCTGCCTCATTCCCAACGGTACAGGTCAGACTCCCGGGCTTGACACAGCCCTGCGCTGTGCCTGCAAGGCCTACGCTAATGCCCAGGTACCACCTGGCACAACTCCAGGGGGGCGCCATGCCACCGCGCCCTACAGCCAGGGTGAGAACGGTGCCCTATGGTTCCGGGGGTCCCTAACACGCCGAGGGCTGAGCCCCGCTCGCCCGCAGCTCCCCACGGTGAGGGCTCGGAACGCAGCCCCTAGTGGCAGTGCCGGCCCCGTTAGGCCTGGCCCAGGAGGTT